TTCAGGTCTTGATTTTTTGTAATGTCAAGATCAAAACAAAAACAGATTTGCATAAAGAATAAATTTGGACACAATATGGAATCAAAATGTCGGGATTGTTTTCCATTAATTTTATTAAATGCCCGAATTCTTTTTGGTTCGTTTTTTCACGATTAAATTAATGTTAAACAATCAATATTTTTTACAATAATTTGTAGAATTTTATAAACTTACTTTACAGATAGTTTAGATTTTTCCATTATATCACTATAAATTATATAAATACTATAAATTAAAAAAAACACTCATGCATTATTTTGATTTTTGGTTTCATTCGCCAAGCTTGCCTAAAATTTAGGCGAATTCTCTAATCATAATACGAAAAATTTAAATTCGCTAAAAATTTCATTCGCTTCGCCGATCATAATGAGGGCCTTAATTAAAATAGCGATTCTTATAAAGCTAATAAGTATCTAAATTAATTTAGACAATAATATGTATGAACAAACGAATAAATTTTAGAAAATTTGAAAAAAAAAATAAAGCACAATAAAAAAACACTGGAAATAAAAAAATACAAGCACAATAAAAAAACACTGAAATACGAGCATATTTAATTGTTTTGTTTACATGCACAATTTTTTTTTTATTTTACCACATTGTGGAAAGTGACGAGAAAAGAGACAAAATAAACAAAAATAAAAATTATGAATTTTGATACACAAAATATTTCATACCTTACTTGTATGAGATTATTTGTAAAAATAAAATATTGACATTTTCCGTATTTATTATTTTAATGGTTTATACTCGTATTTGCATTTATTCTTTGCGCTTTGATGCACTGAGGCATTAAATACAAAATTTTAATTATTGATTAATTACCATAATATATGTGCCCTATAAAAATATTCATAGCAAAAAATAAATTGTTAGTTTTTGAAATTTTCATTACATTTCTTAATCAAAAAACAAAGTGTTGTTCTAAATTACCCTTTCAAAATTGTTTAAAAAATTGCTTGAAATTGTTTTAATAAAATTTTCTATAAATTTATTGAGATATTATATAAATAATTACATATTAAATATAGAAAGCATTGAAATGCAATTATGAACAAAGCGATATAAGGAAATAACTACATTTTTTGTTTTGTTCTTAAAACAGTCGATTTTTAAATTACATTATGTAATTAACTTTTTTTATTGATAATTTCAAATATCAAGTAAAAAAAAGTTCATCTAACTATATTATATAATAATATACATAAAATAAGAAGGTTTTTGAAGAGCTATACAAAATATGAATAAAATAAAGGCTTAGAAAAGTAAATTCTAGTAGTGCGTAGCCTAGTAGATAGTCTGATTACAGAATTATGTGGGTAACCTTATAGATAAACAAAATATTAATTTTTTTCAAATATAAATATTTATATATGTATTCGAATACATGTATATATATATGTATTAGATTTAACATTTTAAAACAGCGAAAATTTTAAACTATTTCATAAATTATTTTCGTTAAATTTAATAAAAACTACAATAAATTTAAAAAATTTTTTCAATGGTTGATAATTTTTCCGAAATATAATTCTTTTTTTTTTTATTGGTATGAAAAGAAAACTTCCTTTTATTCGGAATAAAATACTTTTTTATTTTTTGCTATTATATTTCGTGCGCTACATATGCACTTTATCAAAAACTAATTCTTCTAATTAAGACAACAAACAATAAAAATTGAAATCTATTAAAATTAGGAATATTATACCTGACTTAATATAATTATCTACCTGACTTAATCTAGAATTTGATTATTTATTGATATATATATATTTTTTTTTTGTTATTAGTTAGAAACTAAATTTATACCTGTTTTAAACCTTAAAACTGGTCAAATAATTAATTTAAAGAGCCAAGTAGCCGCGTTACCTTCGTCCATGTTCAGTAGGCAGTCCTTGTTTGATTTGTATATCTGCATGCTTTCATGAACTTCTCTCCTGTGTTTTCCTTTCACCTCTTTTAATACCTTTAAGTTATCTTCCGTGATTGTGTGATCCGTTTCATAAATGTGTTTTGCAACCATAGAATCGAAAATCCTGTTAAATCCTACTCTACTTGCACGTTTTATTTCACTTAAATGTTCCTAAGTCTTGTTGTAACGGGTCTCTTCGTTTGTCCTATGTAAAATTTATCGCAGTTATTACAATTGATTTTGTACACACCGCATCTTTCATGTATCTTCAATTTATCCTTAGCCGAATTTAAAAAGCTCCTAAGTTGATATTTACTATTGGTTTCCGATGCCCGAATATGGTATTTCCTTAAGGAAACGCAATATTGTGTTTCCTTAAGATATTGTGTTTCCTTAAGGAAGGTAAACTCCAAAATCAGAAACGGCTGGAAAAGATTTCAATATAGGGCTCCAGATAATACCTGTATTAAAAATTCTAAGTCTTTGAAATATTTAGGGGTAAAGTAACATTATTTATATACATTTAACTTGCATAGCCACGATCAACTATCAAATGCTAGTGATAATCATATTATTCGCTTAATTCATAAACATATTCCGAGATGCTGTAATATCACAAATAATTCATTAATTATCCATGTATGGTTTCTTAATGATAAATACATAAAAACCATATTGAATTCTGATTTCATTCCACTAGAGGGGTTTTTATATCTATATGGTAATAATTATATAGAAAATTCTAATTATGTCCAATTAATTTATCATTTCCTCCGAAATTCATCTAATAAAAAAATTCCTTTATATTTATATAGTTTGAATTTAGAAAATAATGAATTTTTTAAATACGAAAAATACATTCAAAATTTGAATAAATTATAAAATTATAAAAAGATTACTTTTGGAAACTGTTGAATAAGTTAGTTACGAGTATAAGGTCTTTTATTCTAGTATATAAGTTTAGTTTAAGTTATTTTAGTTATAAAACATATTATCATAATTGCTTTTTTATTTGAGTTTTTAGCAATGCCTTATAAAAATCTATATAAGTTATTTCAAACATAGAACTCTTTTTGTAAAAAAGGAATTAAATATATTAAATATAATTTTTATTTCAATTTAAATTTACTTTATTTATGTGAATGGGAGAGCCTTTATGTCCATTGTACATTTAAGCTTGTAAATATAGAAGGATATTCTTTTGTTTTGTTTGGAATTCTATAAATATAAAAGAATAATAAATAAAACATTAAAAAAAATCAAAGACAGCTTTTCTTCTGGAAATAAGGTCACTGCAGTAAGTGTCACTTTTTGGTTTTACATATTAGATTTGTCTGATATAAGAAAGTTTTTAAAATTTTTATAAAACCCGAAAAAACTTTATAAAGTTTTGCATGCAAAACGTCTGGGATAATATTTTATAACAAAAATGAGAGAAAATAGGATTGTCTGGTATGAAACTTGAAGGAAACTTTAAAAAGAGAAATATTGACGCAAAATAAAAAAATCTGATGTGATCAGCACATAACCGACCGCATTGTGTATTGTCTAGTTAAATGAAAGTGTAACAGAATATTATAAAAATGTCTGTTAAATACTTCTTTCCAATTTTTAGGACATTAGTAAGCTTATAGTTAACATACTTAGAAAAATGTAAATTTGGCTCTTAGTAGAATTTCGCTCTGTGCTACCCGAATTCCCTGAAATGCTCGCCAGTTAGTTTCGGTAACAACCAGAACTCAAATATCAAATTTCAAGAAATTCCATCAATTTGTTCTGTGGATATGGTGAAAAATGTAAAATCGGCCCGCAAATCAGTTCTCGAGCCCTGATCTTTCCAAAAAAGTTATATGTTCATTGCTTTAATATGAGGAATTCATATATTAAATTTCAATGAAATCGGTTGATTATTTCTCTTTATATACACAAAAGTGTATGTTTGGCCCGCAGTAAACGTCTAGTTGCCGATGCCTGATCTTTCCAAAAAATTTACATATTCATTGTTTTAATACGGGGAATTCATATATTAAATTTCAATGAAATCGGTTGATTATTTCTCTTTATATACACAAAAATGTATATTTGGCCCGTAGTAAACGTCTAGTTGCCGATGCCTGATTTCTTCCAAAACATACGAATTTTTGCGGACGGTCGAGCTGAGCTTATATATAAAATTTCAAGTAAATCGGTTGAATATTTTCTTCAAAATGTTCAAAAATGTAAAACAGGCCCGCTAAAAAGTACAGTTCCCAAGGCCTGATATATACCAAAAGTTGATCGATCCGTGCCATGGTGGAAACAAACTTATATATAAAATTTCATCAAAATCGGTTCAGCCGAACTTGAGATACACGCGTACACACAGACCGACAGACGGACAGACCGACAGACCGACAGGTTGCTAAAAATAGTTTATTTACACTTCCCTACTATGGAGAAGTACGTTCCCACCGAAAACTCGATATGCAAAATTTGTTGCCATCACATAACCTACCTATTGTTTACACAATACGGTCGGTAAAAAGGTCTCATTTAAAAAAAAATAAGCCAGACAGAAAAGTTCTGCAAAAAAAATTCCCAATAATTTCGTACGAAATTTTTTGAAACAATTTTTGGAATTTTTTACAGAATTTTGGCCACTATCTTAAGATTTAATTTAAGTCATTAAATGTTGAAAAATCTGTGATGGTACAGAAGATATAAAGTGAGAAGACAGTGAGTAAGTGTCATATATTTGTATAGTGTAATTTTCGAGTGGGAAGAATATTGTTCCGTATAGCATATCTGGCTTTTTTTTGAAAAATGTATACAAAATTTATTCACTTCGTTTTTGAATGTGAGACGTGCGGGAGTACTGATGGCTAGACGTGCGGAAGTAGTGAAGGTAAGACGTGCGGAAATGTCAAAATCCAAATTTCTTAATTTGCCAGTAAAAACGAGCCCACATTAAACCTACAATATTAGGAACATTAGTTAAACATTTTACAAGGTGATCCACAACAATCGGAGAATGAAGTCTTAGAGTATATTTAAGAAAAAAAATTGTAAATTAAATAAGAAAAAATTTTTTTTTTAATTTATGGTAGTACTCGTATCAGTAATAATTACAAACATAAAATCGTAAATTACAAACTTTTTCAAATTTAATTTTTTCAACAATTTCATAATGTTTATATTACACGTCTTCATGTAAAGTGATTGTTCCAGACTCCATCCAAAAGAAGACTCTTGTCAAAATATTTTATAAGAAATTTTTAAGATAAAAATTTTTGAATGATTAAACTGCTTTTTCTTAATTTGACTTTTGCCGCTATTTATTGGTGCCACAGGTACATACATATGTATAACATTTTAAAGGTTGAGTTTTTTTAATGTTTGAGTTTATTTGACTAAACTGTTTGATTGTACATGTCACAATAAGATAATAGTTAAAAGTTGGTACAGAGGCCCGAAACACGGCAAAATGTTAATGAAAGTGGATTTTATGGAATAATCTATGGAAATTAGAAAATTTTATTGAAGCGACAATATAATGAGAGGTTCTTTTGCATTCTTAATTAAAAATGAATTTATTCAAATAAAAGGAAATATTCAATTCATTTTTATAGCTCCAGTGCGACAATTTAACTATTAACGCATACGAACGGTATGTTTGTATACGTTAATAATTTCAAAAAATATTTTTTAACTTCTTAATTGTGGTGTTATAAGTTTTGTATTTAAATTTTATATTTGAAATATATGTACATACTTTTCAGCTTTAGTTTTGTTTTAATCGTACATTTATATTTTCTGTGCATAAACATTGCTTATTACATTTAACATTTGATATATGCATTTTATATGCATCTAAATATAATATTTTTCTACCTTAGTGAAGTAAAATATAGTCTCTTATTTGAACAAAGTTATTTTAAAATGTAAATTCTAATTTTTTTTAACATTAAACTGCGTTTCAATATTTGATTATAATCCACAATAAGTTTAACTTAATTTAAAGCATTTTTATGAAAATATATACATAAATTTTTCTTGAAAACAATTAAAATTCTATAACTCTTACATCTATGATATGTTTTAAAAACTGTTTTTCATATTTGAAAACTTTTTCAGCAGTCACATAGTTGATAATTATTGTGTTATAAATTTGGTTATAATATTTTATACATATACATAATTTGTACATAGGTATTTATGGACTTGTATTAATGCATGTGCCTTATGCATGAAAATATGTCTATGAATAAACACATACAAAAAAGCTTGTCACAAAAAAGAATATTTTTCAATCAACAAAATATATAAAACCACAGGATCTTGTGAATTTTCAAGATTGGTTTTTAAAATATACATTTGCAATGATTGAAAGAACAATTTTATTGAAAGAATAGTAGACATACATGTATTTATTATATGAACACCCAAAATAAAATAAAAAGGAAATCTGTTAAAAATGTAAAATGTGTGTACATATATAAATAGCGAAAATTTTTTTTTTTAAATTTAATGTCAGGGGTAAGTTATCTTGCTTTTAAGAGGAACACGCTTTAAAGTACACCTACCACAAAATTTTGAAATGTACCAATATTCTTTTCTTTGTAACATTTCATTTAACTAGGCTAGAACTTTGTCTAATTTGTTTTATAAAATATTTATATATTTTCAGGTCTGTTTGCGAAGAGAACCTCAACAATATTTTCATCAGCAAGTGTTGAAGTATCACCAATATCACGATCATTAGTAGCCACTTTTCTTAAAATTCTCCTCATTATTTTACCAGAACGGGTTTTTGGCAAATTGGGAGCACACTGAATTACATCAGGTTGCGCAAACGGACCAATGCGTTCCCTCACAAGTTTTTTCAGATCGTCAATCATTTTCCTATCAAAGCTCTCGCCTGCATTTGGGCTAATAAAACAGTATAAACTTTCTCCTTTAATTGGATGCGGACGGGATACAACAGCTGCTTCTGAAACCTTTGAATGTTCCGTAAGAACAGCTTCTACTTCAGCAGTAGACATCAAATGACCTGAGACATTTAACATGTCATCTATTCGACCAGTTATCCAGAAATATCCGTCAGTATCACGTCTGGCGCCTAAAATACATATTTCAATAAAAGACTAAAAACAGTTTCGCCAAATTAACCATCTCCTGTACAATAATATCCCGGAAACTTTGAGAAATATGTACTTTCAAAACGAGGGTGATTATTAAATATAGTTCTCATTATTCCTGGCCAAGGCCTCGAGAAAACCAAAAACCCTTCTCCTTCACCCTGGATTTCATTACCACCATCATCTAAAAGGATTGGTTCAACTCCAAAAAATGGTAACGTCTAAAACGTGAATTCAAATTTACATAAAATTCATTATAGAAAAACAATTATGAAAATTTACGGCTGAGCCCGGTTTTAATGGAGTTGCGCCTGGAAGTGGAGTAATAACATGTCCACCGGTTTCTGTTTGCCAAAAGGTATCTACAATAGAACATTTTTCCTTACCAATATTTCTATAATACCACATCCAAGCTTCTGGGTTTATAGGCTCACCAACGCTACCCAAAACCCTGAAATTAGAAATTGTGGCAGATATTTTTAAAATTTTTCAATCAATATTTGTATACCTTAAAGTGTTAAGACTGTGCTTTTTTACTGGTTCTTCACCGAATTTCATTAAGGCCCTAATTGCTGTTGGAGCCGTATAAAATTGGTTAACATGATATTTGTCAATTATTTGCCAATATCTGTCATTATCTGGATAAAAGGGTGTTCCTTCAAACTAAGACGAAACTGTTTTTAGATAAAAAAATATATAAGCCGTTATAAACTATTCACCATTACTGAAGTTGCTCCGTTTGATAAAGGACCATAAACAACATAAGTATGACCAGTAATCCAACCTATATCTGCCGTACACCAAAATACGTCATTTGGTTTATAATCAAAAACATATTTAAAGGTTGTTGCTGCGTATAACAAGTAACCTGCCGTCGTATGTAAGACTCCCTTCGGTTTCCCAGTTGACCCACTAGTATACAACATAAATAAGGGATCTTCAGCTGCCATCCATTCAGGATAGCAGGCTGACTCTTTGTCTTCCATTTCATCGTGCCACCAGAAATCTCTATCTTCATTCCAAGGAATATTTTGACTTTGAAAATCTTGTCTACATTCTGACACGCGTTTGAAATGAGACACAACTATACATTTATTTACTTTATGTCCTAATATTTCAGCTTTATATAATGCATCATCACACAAAGCTTTTAAGAATAATGGTTTTTCGCCTCGCCATACTCCATCAGCGGTAAGGAGCATTTTTGCTTTACAGTCAACCATACGTTCTGCTAAAGCGTCAGAAGAAAAACCCGCAAAAACTATTGAATGAACGGCACCTATTCGAGCGCAGGCCAACATTGCAATTGGAAGCTCTAAAATCATAGGCATATAGATTGAAACGCGATCACCTTTTTCAATTCCATGAGTCTTTAACACATTTGCAAATCGACACACTTCTTCCAAAAGTTTTCTATACGTTAAACCTTTTGAATAATCATCTGGATGATTGCCTTCCCTAAAATTCAAAATATAGTATAAAATGATGTCTTATAATAAGTTCACCTAAGACAAATTCAAACAAATCTAAGTATGTGTGTAACCGTCAAAAATTAATGTAAAAATTAAAATTCAAAAAATTTGAAGATATGAAATAAGTTAATTGTAAATTTGTTTAAATAAGTAGGTAAGCAAAAAAAATTTTCTTGAAACATTATTGATTTTTTCATCAGAAATACATATTTATATGTACGTATCCATATATACATACGTACATGTGTATGTATCAATATAACAAGAAATTAAGCAATATATTAATAACGCAAGATTTACTTGCATATGTAATTACCAATAAAATGCTATTTTGTCAGCATGTCCATTTTTCACATTTCGATCTAGTAGGTTGTAACACAAATTAGTTGAAGCTCCTTCCATCCACTTAATATGAATTGGCCCTTTGGAAATATCAAAATTATAACTCAAAAAACTTTTATGGTTATAAGATGTTTCCCAATGAAATTGCTCAGCAATTTTAGACCAGAACTTTTCTGGTTCATTAATTGATTCCAGATATATTTTTTTATATTCTTCCAAATTGCATATATAAGAACATCTTGATATATTTACTGGTGGTTGAAAAATCGATGTTTCGGAAGGCATTTTTAAAATTTAGTAAAAGTAAAACTAAAATAAGGGAGAATGTAGTTATATATTTCGTTATTGTACAGTCAAAATCAACAAAAATTATATCTTTTTTGTTCTTTGAAATAGAAACGTTTCAAGTTCGATATTAAAAGAAAAATAATGCTTGCTTTTTAGAATAGCAATAAATGTGATTTATTAGACAACGAAAGTTTAATTAAATATGTATAAATATGCACATATACGTACATAAATGAAAATCTACACACGTACAGCGTGTTTGCGATTCAGTAGCATGCAGGAAGCAAGGTGAAAAAATTTACCTAAAGAAACAAAAAGTTGTTCTTTTTCCTTTTCCGAATTTCTCCTCTAGTTATTGGGCTCGAAAATTAATTCTTTTCAATTCTTCTTTTATAGTTTGGAAAACACGTATGACGAAGCTAACTTGATTAATCAATTTTAATTAGCAATGTATTTCCCTTATGGCAATGTTCATGAAATTCTCTTTTGGCATACCGAAAAATTTCTTAAATTGAGTTTGCATAAGCTGTTGTTTATTTGGAAGGGTACATTGAAATTTTTAATAATTTTAAAATTGATTAATTAATCGACCTAAAACGGGCGGAAAAAAATATACACCTCTGTATTTTCGGTTTGTCTAGACTCAAAAACGTCATCCTGCTTCGTAAGTATCACACAGTCCTGCACACTCTGTACGTTCTAAAAATCTGAACTAAAATATTGTTTTCAATAAAGGGACTAAAGTCAATACAACTATAAGGTATTAGTTTGTATGGGTATCATTTAAAAGATTTTCAATAAGAGTATGGAAAACACTTTTAATTTTTCGTTTTAAAATATATTATTTTTTAAAGCTTTTACAGGCAACAGAATCCCTAAAATATGTATACGGTAAGAAAGTATTTTTGAATACAAGTATTTTAAAAATTTTTTGGTTTTGAAGTTAACTTTACATATTTGTATTTTCTTTATTTTCTCATATTAATAGTTGAACAATCATTTAACGTCAATATAATTAAACAAACTATCTTGAATTTAAAAAGAAATTATGTATTTTTAAATATAACATCAAAATAAAGAATGTTAAACTTTCTTTATTATTTTTTAACGAATATCATATTTCTTTACCCGATAATAACGAATTTAAATGTATGTATTATTTTATTAGCTTATATACAAAAAAAAAGAACAGAATATTTTAATGTTATGATCCAATATTCAAAAATGAGTGCATACTTAATTTGTGTATAGTAAAAAAAAAGGTTTACGTAATGAAAAGTTTTACTGCGCAAATTCAGATAATGTTTTATGTACAAACATATAAAAATTTAATATATTTGCATATATGTACATACGTTATAGTATATATTACAAAACTTGTGATTATCAATAAACTACGCGTTTTGAAGAATAAAATATAAGCTTTAATTAATTTTTAAGTATTTCTAAGCTGATGTTTTTGGCACTATCGCTATTTTGTTACGTAGATTTTGCTCTGGATATGCTCTAGAGTTGTATTTTTTCAAATGTTGAAGCAATCCACAATTATATTTTCGTTTAATATCGCTTACAAATAACAAATAAACGGATAACGGATTTTTTTTTCAAATATGAAATATTTGAAAACAAGAATACTAATAGCCATTTATACATACATACATATTTTATTAGAATAAGTTTTTTAGGTTTTTATTTTCCGTTTTGAATTGGATATGAAAAAAAGCGTATATTATACTATATTTAGAGCAATCATAAACCATTTCGAAGATCATATTATTCTACTTTGTAGGTAAAGTATTTGATAACTGGTAATATATTTTCTCAAAGTAAAAAAAGTTCTATATTTTATTACATAAACATATTTAATACTTCATTTAGTAAAACGCGCTAAAATTATTTAAATTATATGGATAGAATAAAATTAAAAGAATAGCAATTTCGTTGATAATGCAATTGCGATATGTGAATGTTGCAATAAAAGTATATAAATAGCTCTTTTGGCAATAGCCACAAAATAAAATGTGGTTTAATAAAAATTGTTTTAATGGGCACAAAGAAAGAATTTTCTAGTAATGTGTTATAAATGTTCTCAATTCCTTGAGACATATTTTAAATTTGATTAAAAAATATATACGAAATTATTGTAGCTCGTTAGAAATTTTTTATTCCAAATTGATGATTCATTTTCATAAACGGTTCAAAAGTATAACGTATTTTAAAACAGTATATTTATGAAACTGTATTGAATTTTATTGAAAATAAAATAAAGGTTTTTATTCGGATATAGTTTGTGTCGTCCTCTTTAAAAAAATATTTATTTAGACAAAATTTTTCAATGTGAAGAGAACTTAAGTTAAATAAATTTAGGTCAAACCAATGGTATGCAATGAAGCAATTTTCCCTTCAACAAGTGAAAATAATGTTCGAACAAGAAATGTATAGCTTAAAACCTAAAAAATAATTTATGTATACCTACTACACTATTCAAATTATTTTAATTCACACACGAAACTATTTCAAGAACTGCATAAATTTAGAATGAACGATTTATGCAATATTTAAAATAAAGCGAAAATAAATTTAAACAGATGTTAATATACTGCCCGATTTTAAGGCTTAATTGCCCGATTTAAGAAAAGTAATTATATTTTTTAATGGTATGAAAATTACCATTAACTTTCTGCGTTTATAGAAATTTGAAAAAGCCTGCACTTTTGGAAGTATAAAGTGCCAAAAATTTCGGGTGGCAGTAACTTAGGTAGAGAAAAATTTTTTTTTAACAAAATGAACTATTTATTGGTGTTTAAAAGTTGCTAAAGCTTCAGACTTCTACAGCTAGTGATCCAAAAGAAAAACGATATCAAAAATTTGAAAAGAACGGATCAAAAGCCTAAATTTTGGCGGCCATTCTGTTGTTTTAAAGTTCAAATATAGTATGCACTACTTTGCAATGAATTATCGAAAATTGAAATTTTTAGGTCTTTGAAGGGATACAGTTTTTAGAGGGGGGAGATAGGTAAAAATCTTTTATGGAAATAAGTTTTTAGTACAGATTTATGTACATATTATACAATTTCAGCTTTCTATCTTCAAGGGTGTAGAAGTTTTGTAAACATGTTCACGGACGGACGGACAGAGTGAAACTAATGAACTTTTTTCAAATTTTTTTTGGAAAAGCGCTAAAAATAGAAATTCTTTGAATATACATATTTAAATTATTTCATACAAAACAAACGGTGCCACTCAATATTTCGCGAGGCCTATTTGATTTTAAATTTTTCTGAATAAGTACAACATGATTAGAATTTTATTTTATTTTACTATTTTAATTTTTGACGGAAATCAAGTTAAATCAAGGGGTCAATTTTATCTTTAAAATTTCTTTTAAAGTGAATTGAATGAATAAAACGTTATATAAACTTAATGAATAAGATATTAATTTTATTTAACGTTGTATAAAATGAACAAAAAACGATAACCAGAAAGTAATCGTTTTGCTAAAATAATTTTTGTGAGATTAACTAAGTTACCCTTTTTGGACAGTATCGATTAATACAATAAACAAGACATTAAAAATAAAAAAACATAAACTGCCAACGCTGATAAAAGATTGCAAAATGGCATATACTCGTATACGTATTAGGTATAAGAGAAAATGTGTAGACGTGAATAACCAAGATAAAACTTGGGCTTCACGGTCAACTAGTTTATATGAAATTGTAGATAAAACTTTATAAACATTAAATCTTCAAGGGTTTTTATATAGTCACAAAATAATTAGTCACAAAATAAAGATTCCATTTAACCGTTCATGTTATTACATACTTTTGGGCTCAGAGCTTACGAAAACAAAAGGAAGAAACAAGCTCCTATACAAAAAGCTTTTTTAATAATAGCTGTATTAATAATAATTTAATAATTTTAATAATATGAATTCTGTTTTGTTTCGCAGTAAGTATCTTGTACCTTTTTTTTTCCTTACTATACTTGGGAGCACTAGGACGTTCCACTTGACTTTAGAGTCAAACATTAGTTTTGAGAGTATGTAGTTTTTCTACATACTATAACTCTATAATATTAAGTATAATTATTATACTGATCTGAGCAGGATTTGAACCCTAGGTCCTTCGGTTAGAGGATTAGTGCCTAACCATAGACAGTTTTTGCACCTTAATATCCATATTCAGTTTTTAATTCACCATTCACAATATGTTAACAACAAACGAATGCTAAACATGCTGTGTGCCTTTTAAATAAATGTATGAAGAGTGGTCATCATTGAATATTAAATTACAAAAAATATGTAAAACAGCAGCCGTATATACAAGGCCTTTTTTGTAAATGTTTTTGTTAAAATTACGTATGCGTTTTTGGTGAAAAAAAAAAATACGCATAAGTAAGCATACAAAGCAAAAACAGAATTGGAAATTACGTTCTATGAAATTTTGGATCCATTTACAATTCAGCAAACCATCTCTACTTTAATTCGTTATTTAGTTGGTCATCTTCGATTTTCTCCAAAAAGAAAGATATAGTAAATAACGATGGCCTTAAAATTTAAAAAAAAATTATAATAATTAGCAAATTTATTAACCCGCTTTGAGAAGTTTATTTTTATTTATAATTGGGCCGCTATGTCAACCCAAATTTAGTACATGTCGAAACCATATATAGGTCCCATTTACAGATCAAAAATCTATTATGAATGACAAAAATTGTGGTTTTGGAAAAAAATAATCATTCATTAATTTTCTGTTGCGATAATGCTAACCGACTGGAAGAATTAACAAGTAAAAACGTTTCAGTCGGTATAAACCGATTGAATTATACCCTGCACCTTTCGTTATTGTGTAGCAATTACTCGAACCTGTGAGATCATTCTATAGAAACTTCACGGACATGTCTGACCTATAATTGGACATCCGACTGCCAAGTTTCATCAATCTGACCTTATAATTTTTCAAAATATTTAAAATTAGCTTTTGGAGTTGTATGGTAAGTACCTAAACCTGTCAAGCAATTCCATCAAAACTTCACAAATATATCTGACTTTATTATTTTTCCAAATATTAAGAATAAGCTTTTAGACTTGTATGGGAGCTATTCGAACCTGTCAAGCAATCGCACCAAAACTTTAGATATATGTCTGACCCATAATTGGACACACGACTGCCAAGTCTCATGAATTTGACTTTATTATTTTTCCAAATATTTAAAATAAGCTTTTGGGGTTGTATGGCAAGTACCCGAACCTGTCAAGCAATTCCACTAAAACTTCACAAATATATCCGATATATAATCGGACACACAACTGCCAAGTTTCATGAATCTGACTTTATTATTTTTCCAAATATTTAAAATAAGCTTTTAGACTTGTATGGGAGCTACTCGAGCCTGTCAAGCAATTCCACCAAAGCTTCAGAAATATATCTGACCTATAACTGGACACCCAACTGCCAAGTTTCATGAATCTGACTTTATTATTTTGCCGAATATAAAAAATTTGCTGTTGGAGTTGTATGGCAGCCACCCGAACCGGTGCAGCTATCCCATTATAATTTTTAGAGCATGCGTAGAATATTATTGGACACATGTATACAAAATTTTATATTTATAGCTTTATTAGTTTTTGAAATATTTAAAATAAACTCTTGGAGTTGTATGGCAGCTACCCGAACCCGTTGTCCGACTTAGTCCAATAACAATAGGGTTCGTCCTTGGCACAAAAGAAAAAACCTGTGAAAGTTTGGTGTCGATTGCATTATTCGTTTTTGAGTTATCGTGCGATCGTGCGATCGGACGGACGGACGGACGGACAGACGGACATGTCTAAATCGACGCAGAATTTTACGCTGAGCAAGAATATATATATATGTCCATACCGCAGATGACTCCTTCAAGTAGTTACAAACTCCATACCAAAGTTAATATACCCTTCACGAAGTGCAGGGTATAAAAAGTCATGGGAAATAACATAACAAGAAGTTGTGCTGTGGTCAAAATAGAAAAATATATAACATTAAACATATGATCATGTAAAGTATATCATAAATGGGTCAACGCACTTACTGTTAATGTATTTACCGTTTACATACATATTGTACTCAGACACGGCCCTAGTTAATGCGGTGCCCTAAACGGTTTCTAAAAAGTGCGGCCGCCCCCCTTTGCAGCGTTCCACCTCTTTATACTGTGAATAAAATGTAACAAGCATTGCACATTATGAATCATAAATCACATTCTTGTAACCTTGTCATGCTGAATGCAGGATTAATTAGAGAATTAAAACCTGTATTTAAACTTTCAATTTTTTGTTTTATAAATTCAACAGCAAGGTATTTTAATTAACATATTTTAAGTGGTTATGATCAGATTCATTTCAATAATTTAAACTCGATTTTTTGGTTTTAACAGCTAAAAATTCGCTTTTTGGCGTAGATTAAACTAAACTATAAACGGTTCTAAAAAAATAATATCAATAAATGAACTCTTTCAAAGCTTCTTTCAATATAAAAAAAAGTAAAAATTTATTTACTTATATGCTTAAATGATTGTACATAGCGAAATTTTATTTGCAATTTTAAATTTACGAATAAAATTTGGCTTTTTATTTCACAAATCGCCTGATAAATGAAGCAGTGTATAAAAAAGTTCCGACTTGCATTCAAAAATTTAGGAAAAATCAAAGATTCGGTCTAAAATTTGTTACTTAAAAACTAAGCTTTTTATGTACATAGGTATAAGTATTTTATAATGTTCATTATAGTTTCTAAAATTTTATTAAAATAAATGCATTTACTGGTATTTATAGACTTGTGGTTTTGAAATTTCAAAATGTCGTGCTGTTAAATTGCTTTAATTTTTGAGGAAATTGTATGAAATTATACGCCATTTTATTTACTTTAATTGTTTGGATGATTTAAACTACATCAATTCAACATAAAATTTTTAACATTCCCTTGATTATTAAACATGTTTTCAATTAATAAGATAAAATAAGTAGAAGATATTAAAAATTTATATTTAATTCTGTGATTGATAATAGTTTTTTTAAAAACGAAAATAAAGCATAGAACTAGAAATTCATAACGATCAGGTTAATTTGGAAATTCATTCAAAATTTTTTGTTGTGAAACAAAAAGAAAATATTGGTATACTCAATCTCAATATCAAGCTATGCATTCCATTTAATGTCTTTATATCTAACAAGTCCCAATGCTCAGAGAGAAACTTGAAAGCACGACCTTATTTTATATGGGTTTTTTTAAATCGAAGTGGCTATTTTTTGAGAAGAAATATTAAAATAAATTTACACTTATTATAAAGCAGGTAAAATTTGGAAAATATATTTGAAAAATCAAGAAAATATATTAATATTTTCAGTCAGAATTATTTTAAAATTCTTGAAACAGCGGAAAAACAACAAGCACAACCTTCGCCTTCAACGTTTTATATGTTACTGAAAGCATTTCATTATTTTTAAGTGAACAGCTTTTTTTTTCTCATAGGGTGTTATAGTTAACTCAAGATATAAGAAGTAACTGTGGTGTCAAGTTGAAAATATAATTAATGAAAGATAATTATTAAATATTGATATAAATACGTAGTAAAGAAAAAACTTGTAAGAAGGAATTAGAAAATAATATCTAAAATACAATCAAATATTATTTTTTAAATACAAATTTTATATACACTTCTAAATTTTACCTCTATTTGTGAGAAAAATTTTTAAAACTTAATATATTACCTAAGTAAAAAAATATTTAAAAGGTTTTGGAAAAGACAATAATATATTTTTATGACCGGATTCGAATATCTTTTTTATTTTTGAAATAAATATTATCTTAGCAAATGACTCAAAAACTCCGATTGTAAAATGACAGGTAGTAGGTACTGATGTAAATTTTGGTCCGTTTGCGATTCCTATTAAGATTCATACACAGGCAGGGCCATTTTATAAATAGATTGCTCTTGTTTACCTGCTAATAAAATATGAAAGAAGAGCACAGCAAAATTTTTGAAGAACTCAATATAACATGTTTGAAATAGTTTTAAAATAATTATTTAAAAAAAAATTTATTGGAAGTAGGTACATACATATTTATTTTTAATAATTTAAAAACTAACTGAAATTATTTGAAACAATTTTATAAGTAACGTATGAATAATCGAAATGAGATAATTCAAATTGTTGAAATGTGTCAACCTATATTACTTTTAATAACATTTTTGTTAGCAGACACTACTCAACTTACCTTATTGGGAAATACAAAATGTGCATAAAAAATCATACATCCTTCCTCATTAACATTTGAAACCATACTGAAATATGAATTTGAAATTTTTTTTCATTTTTTCTTTCCTCCTACCTTTCTTTCTTTTTCGTGCAATAGAATTTAAATGGGAAACTTTTTAAAAAATGTGTATAATATCCTGAGATTTTTTAAAATATTAATTTCTTTTTTACGTAAAAAAAAAGAAAAAAATAATAAAAAATATGACACGATCAGTGGCATTTAAAGAAAAAACCAACAACGAGGCCAAAAATTCGTAACATTTCGTAAAAAAAATTGAGTATTGGGACTTGTTAGATATAAAGACATTAATTTAAGAATATTGTTCTCATTCTCTTTCTAATTTCTTTCTATTCTCATTCTTAATTTTTGTTTTTTTTTTTGTTCTTGTTGTCATTATTCCATTATTTAAGAATATTGTTCTCATTCTCTTTCTAATTTCTTTCTATTCTCATTCTTAATTTTTGTTTTGTTTTGTTCAAAATAATAATGTGTTTGTTTGTTTTGCAAGTGTGCGACAACTCACCATAAATAATATTTTGCATATTTGAAACAATTTAAATATAATGTGTACGAACGAGTGTAGCCAGAGCGATCACTCAGCAGAATAAAAATCTTGCTTCGTCTTATCCATATCATCTTATCCATATTAGACAATGAAAATTATGTGTACATATTGTGTATTTTTGAATGTTTTTCGCGTATTTGCTTCTATGTGGGATTGAATGTATACAGCTGTATGAAATAATATTCTGTGTATGAGTATATGCGAATTTATTCTAGTATGTATATAAAAGGAAAAAAATAATAACAATTGTAATTCTGATGATTCATATCAATCAAAAAAATATTTAGTATGCTCGTATAATAAATAGAAATGAAAGAGTTGTGTAGAGTTACAAAATGTTTGGATAATTTTAATTCTATGAACATTTTTTGTTATATGGTGCCAAAGGAAAGTTATGTAGATCAATAATTAATGTTTTAGGTAACTGACTTTTTTTCATGTACATTTTTTATATTATTAAGAATAAAATGTTATGTTTGTATGTAAGCAAATTTTATCAAGTTAATTTAGCTGCAAATTGATATAAAAAAAATTTTTGAAATCCTTTTTTTGAATGAAATTTTTTTTTGTAATTTAGGGTTTTTTTAAGTTCTTAATGGGATATATGAGAAATCTTATATGAGAAATCCTATGCAAGGCCGAATTTATAAATATATATAAATAGAATTAAAATAAAAAACAAAAATTATTAGGAATAATTAAGTGTGCGTGTTTGGTTTTGCATGGTAGAATATTTAGTACAAATGTGTATTCATAATATTCTAAGCAAGAATTTTTTTCGCTTCTTTATTTTTGTATGCATATCTTTTAAAATTTTACTTTCGGAAACTACATAAAAACTAGTATTTACATATTATCAGAAATAAGTAAGAGATTCTGAATTGAAACATTTTTTGGTTAGATAATTAGGCTTTTTTTCTCTTAGGCACAAAATAAACATAACAACAAAAATAAAACATAAAAAAAAATTAAAAAAAATTGAAATTTTATCAGAATCCAGAATTGGGTATTAACCAAAAACTTACCTCCTTCTCGATTCTAGATACTAATAAAAAAATTTTTTCCATTTCCACCCCCTTGCAAGTTTTTGTCTTTCCAAATTTAAAAAGTCGCTCTTTTGACATCATATATTTCCGAAAATGCAAGTTTTTTCAAATTTCAATAAATGAAAGCTAACAATTAATGCCGTACCACCAAAAAATATACATAATTATTTTTCCCAACTGGCGCAAATAATCCCGAGCATTATGTTAACACATTTAATTTTTTTCTGTAAAGCAGTATTTCACTTGGAAAATTGCTACTTTACAAACCATTTAAAGTTTAAACCAACTTTTTTAGTTTTGTTAGCTACTTTTAATAAGAAATATTTTCGATTTGTAAATAACTTATTTACAAAAATTGTACATAATAACGCATTCAGTACTTTAAAAATAAAAAAAAAAAAAACAAATTTTTAATATTTTATGTTTTCGAAGTATGCCGGTTGAAATATTTTTTTTGTGAAACTTTGGAGTATTCCTTATAATTCTCATTTTTATAATATATAAGTATTAAGTTTTAAAAGCCACCTAGATTATAATTATTATGTTTTTGTCTTTTTTTCAATTTCTTTTCAAATTTTATTTCTTATTCAAAATTTTACTCTGTAATTCAGTACCCTTCTATTTGGAAGACAAGGAAGGTTGTCTGCGCTAAAAATTGCATTTTTTTTAATGCATTTTTCAGATGGAATTTATCAACCGAATTTTTTGAAATTTAAATTTTAAATTTAAAAAAATATGTAGAGCGAAGAATATTGATTATTTTCCTTCATACAAATAAATTTCGACAACGCTTCCATTTAAACTCAACGTAAATTTATTTTTGATTTGCTCTCTGACCTTGATGGTCTGATACATATAATATATGGCATTAATACATTTTTTTTTTTTTAAAAGCATTTTGAAAACTCAATTAAAAATTATTACACATTTATGTAATATGTACCTAAAATTGTTTAATATTTGTTTGATAAAAATGTAATAATTAGGTAAATGTAAATAAGTAAGTAAGTCTAATTCGATTAAAAGATTCGATTAAAAAAATTTTAAAAAAACAAGAGCCAATTGGCACCTCGTCAGAAGACGAGATACTAGCTTCCAGTCAGGAAGCAGGTGTATCGATTGGTGGTGATGAAACCAGTAAGGTAGCAAAACCACCAGAACAATCTACACAAAAAGCTAAAGGAACCAGCCATAGTTCCAAAAGCAGAAAATCAAAAGGACCCGCCTTCGTACTCAAGAAGAGATATTCGAAGGCCGTCTTCATTTTAGGCAAGATTGCCCAGAATGAAGCAGAAGGTAAAACTTCTGAAAAAGACGCGGAGGACAAAGTCAAATACCAGAAGGTAATTGACGAGTACAATGCGTATAAGAGCACGAAGCCTCAGGAGACCACAAAAAGAGTAAGGTCTCAAGATGAAGACAGAAATGCTCAAGAGAGCAAAAGGTCGAAGGTCGTCAAGCCAGGAACAACCAGACCTTCAACATCAAGTGGAAATCGTGCACAGGGGAGAACAATGAGCGAGGTGGTCCGTGATCATCTCCAGTTTGGGGTGGTGGACAGAAAGTCTACCAACCTGAAGTTGTCCTCCGAGTTATGGTGCAAGGTCGAAGCAAAATTATCGGAGATGGTAGTTGAACATCTCCTAACGACCGATGGCAACGAAGTCCTGAGCTTCGATTCATCTGAGGTAGTCAGGGGCTACAGGGTGATCAAATGCGAGGACCGGCTTTCTGGGGATTTTCTTAGTTCGTGTGTTGCTAAGATTAGCGATACATGGGATGGGTCCAAGATTGAGCTCATCCCAGCTAAGGAAATTCCTAGGAGACCCCGAGCTCGTATTTGGATCCCTAAGATGAATATTGCGGGGGACAAGTTGTTAAAGGTCCTAAAAATTGCCAATCCTGAGGTGCCGATGGATGATTGGCAAATTATCAAGAAGGAGGAACCTCAGAAAAACAGTGAGTCCTTCCTACTTCTCATTAATGAGGAGAGTCTACAGCCGTTGGACAGGAGGGACAACAGACTGCAGTTTGGCATACGGCATGCCAAGCTCAAAATATTTCGAAGTGCGGACCCAGAAGGGGACGCCATAGAAGAAGCGAGCCAGCTCTTTGAACAGATGGAGGTGGCTGATAAGAGCAAGAGCGATGAGGGTAATCCAGGTTAATCTCAAGCATTCGAGATTAGCCTCGGATAACCTATTGATCTTCCTAGAAGAGGAAGACATCGACATCGCTCTAATTCAGGAGCCTTGGGTGAACGGTAACAGGATAAAGGGACTGGGCACCCAGAAATACAACCTATTCTACAAGATTGTAGATCCAGCTGAAGGTAAGATCAGAACTTGTGTCTTAACTAAAAAACATGTAAAAGCCTTTCTTTGCTCTAATTTCAGTACAGCAGACATGACGGTGGTGAGGATTGAAGGAAACGGCGGGAACCTATTAATGAGCTCAGTCTACATGGCTCATGATAGGCCTGCTCCACCTCCGGAAGTTCAAAACCTAGCAGAGGTTGGCGCAGCCGAAGGAGCAAGTCTGCTTATGGGTTGCGACGCCAATGCCAGACATACCCTCTGGGGCAACACAGAGATCAACGAACGAGGTGAGTCTTTATTTAATTTTGTCTTAGATAGTAATCTAGAGATAGCAAATAGAGGCAACACCCCTACCTTCACTTTTCCTAGCACAGACAGGTTTGCTGGCTGGGAAGATGTGATAGATATAACACTTAAAACTAACAACTGTATAATCGAGGACTGGAGGGTATCTAGCAAAAGGTCGTATTCTGACCATGCCTGGATAATCTTCACAGTGGGATTCGAAGTTGGGAATCCCAAACCTTTTAGGAACCCTAAAAGAACAGATTGGGTTAAATTCAGAGCCATCGTGCGGGCCAAGCTCATGGTCATGCCCGATATTAACAACTATATTAAAGAAGTCGAAGAACTTGATGCGCAAATCAGAAGATTTGAGAAAGTCATGGGCGTGGCTTTCAGAGCATCCTGTCCTTTGAAATATTCAAAAAAAAAGTATCCCCCGTGGTGGAACGAAGATTTGAGTAATCTCCGGAAGATTACCAGGGATGTCTTCAATATCTGCTACAAGAATGGGTTCTGGCAACCTTATAAGGAGTGCCTGAGAGAGTATAAAAGGGCTATCCGTTCCGCAAAAAAGCCAGGGTTGGAGGGATTTTTGTGGAACTGTAGAATGTACCACGGATTCTGCCAGATTGAGCAGAGTGCTTTCCAAGGACCATACCAGTCCTTCTTTTCTGAAGGATGGGGGTGGGACATGGACAAAAACATCTATGGAAACTCTCAATTTACTAGTGGACACGCATTTCCCGGGTAATACCGGGTCGGCTCGGGAGGCTATCCAGTTGGATTTCCTTCCGGGGCAGCCTGTGTCGAGTGAAATGGTTGAAGCTATTATAACGGTGGAGAAGGTTAGCTGGGCGATAGATAACTTCTCTCCATACAAAACGGCGGGGATAGATGAGATATTTCCAGCTATGTTACAAAAGACGAAGGAACTAATAGTTCCGTGGCTTCTAAAAGTTTTTAGAAGTTGTCTTATCCTTGGATACGTGCCCAAGTCGTGGAGACGTGTAAAAGTTGTTTTCATTCCCAAACCGGGAAGAAGGGGCCATGAGGCACCAAAGATTTTCGACCAATTAGTTTGACTTCCTTCGTTCTAAAAGCGCTGGAGCGCGTTCTGGAGCTAGGGCTCAGGAACAGAATGAAGGAAGTTCGACTTTCGCCTTCCCAGCATGCATATTGCGGGGGAAGGTCCACAGACACACGCACTACACGAGGTAGTGAGGACTATCGAACAATCTATCCATTATAAGCAATACACGTTGGCGGCCTTTCTAGACGTGGAAGGTGCTTTTAACAATATTGGTTCGTGGGCCATAGAAAATTCTCTGACTCAGTTGGGTTTGGAAGATGCTTTGGTACGCTGGATATTATCCATGCTGCGGACCAGGATCCTGTATTCGGATCTTGGTGATAGTAGTGTCGCAAGGTACATTAGTAGGGGAACGCCCCAAGGTGGGGTGATTTCGCCGCTTTTGTGGCTTGTTGTTATGAACGAGGTTCTACTGCAACTTGACGAAAAGCGAGTGAAGGCAGTGGCATACGCTGACGACCTAGTAATCCTGGTTTCCGGCTTTGACCTTCCAACAATCAGTGGGGTTTTGGAAGGATCTCTAAATGTGGTGAGCTCTTGGGCTAAAAGATGTGGCCTTGGAGTGAACCCAGCCAAGACGGAACTTGTACTTTTTACGACTAAGACAAAAATCCCGAGCTTTGGACTGCCCCGATTGGGTGGTTTGCGGCTCAGTTTGAACCCGGCAGTTAAGTATTTGGGAGTCATACTCGACTCTAAACTTAACTGGAAGCTTAACGTGCAAGAGAGGGTGAACAGGGCCTGTACGGCACTTTACACCTGCAAAAAGATGGTCGGAAGGAGGTGGGGACTGAAACCTAGAATGGTTTTATGGTTATACACGGCCATTGTACGACCTATATTAACTTACGGTTCACTCGTGTGGTGGCCGGCGTTGGGGAAAGCTTACAACTGTACCAAGATCGGTAGGGTACAGAGGGCTGCATGCATAAGCATTACGGGGGCATTGAGATCGACGCCCACGGACGCTATGGATGTACTCCTCCATTTGCTTCCACCAGACATCCATATTAAGAATCTGGCCGCGGCAAGCGCCGTTAGACTCAGAGAAGCTGAGTGCTGGCACGAAAAGCCGTATGGCAACGGCAATGTCCTTCAGTCACTACCGGACGGAGTGGTTGCGGATGCTACAGACTATTGCATCCCTAGACTTGAGCTTGACAAAAAGTTTCGGGTTGAGCTTCCGTCTCGCGAGCAATGGAAAAGAAATCTTCCACTGCAAGGCTTTGATATTGCTCTCTTCACTGACGGTTCCAAGGATAGGAATGGGGTCGGTGCTGGAGTATTTTCGGAGACTCAGAACATATCGGAGTCATATCGCCTTCCCGACGGATCAAGCGTGTTCCAGGCGGAAGTATTCGCCATATGGAAGGCATGCGAAATCCTGGGAAGGGATTTGGTTGTGGCCCGGGAGGTCGCAATTGTGACGGATAGTCAGGCTGCGATTCTGGCTCTAAATTCGCCAAAGATATTCTCAAAGTTGATAGGGCTTTGCTACGATGAGCTGACGAGATTGTGCAGTCATCATAGTATCACCTTACTCTGGGTTCCGGGACATAGGAACATACCAGGAAACGAGCGGGCTGACGAGCTGGCCAGATGTGGGTCGGCATTGGACGGCTCCAGGGCCGAGCGAGTTCTTGTCCCTATAAACACCATCAAAACTGATATATACCGCTTCCAAGTGACATGTGCGGACCACAGGTGAAGGGGCCTGAGCACATGTGCAACGGCTAGGAAGACGTGGCCGAAATACGACCATAAGAAATCAATGAGCCTCCTGGCGATGCCTCGACCGGACATAGCTAAGTTAGTGGCTGTGTACACGGGGCATTGGCCTGTGGGGGATCATGCAGCTAGGCTGGGAATGCCCTTTAATACGTCATGCCGCAGTTGTCGGGAGATAGACAAAAAAGAGACGCTTTTTCACTATCTCTGCGAGTGTCCGGCTCTTCAAAGGGCCAGGTTGTTGTCATTTGGGGAAACGGACATAATGGAACTGGGGAACATTTCTAGTAAAAGTATCGGGGACGTAAATAAGTTCCTTAAAAGAACGGGGTGGCTCTGATCGCTGGCCCTGGACCAACGTACTTTGACAACCGGGTTTCACGAGGCGGTGGTAGCAAAACGGCATGTCAGTGCTAATTGGGGTGTTGGCCAGTTGGGTCGCACCAGCCACTCTAACCAACCAACCAAGTAAGTCTAAAAAAGGGACATTTCACATTTTATATTCAATTTATTAGTTTAATTATTGGTGGAAAAGTATAAAAAATAATTACACAGAAAAGCAAAGTAGAGAAATTATCAAAGATATAATCATATAGAAGAAAACTATGATCTTATAGATTTAATGTTCAACCCTATGTAGTTGGTCAACAAGTTGTCATTTCCACTCCTAGTAAAATGATGTCGAAGTAATTTTAATTTAAAACAAAACAAATGTTTTCTTTCCAAAATTAAAAACTTAAAATGAAATACAACTTATGAATTAACCAAAACATTATTGAACAAATATTTTATTTATTTATTAAAATAAATAATATTTACACGCTTATAGTTGAAGCATACATTTGCTTTTTTAAATGGAAATAAAAATTTGCAACCATGCACCTTTTTCTATTCAGCTTTTTTCTTATCAAAAAAAAATGCAATTCGATAATTGTATTGGGGATGTTAAATGAGAAATTGTATAGCTTTAAAGAACTAAGAATCTGAATTCTCTCCAAGGACAATTGTAAATTATATTGCGATTAGATTATGGTTTATAGTATGTATAAATCAAAAGATTTTAATTTTGAACTGAAACGAAAATAGTTTTTTAACTGATGAATCTACCAAGAATCAAATACAAATACCAGTGAAGAATGAGCTTCGAAGACAGACTTTGTGATCTTATGGAGACTGGATTTCTTCATAAACTCCTGTTGTCTATAAGCCGATCTTTTTATTGAAAATTATTACCTTTATTGTATAACATTATTTAGAGAAAAATAAATTTCATAATTCGAGAAAAATTTAGAAATTAGAAATAACTATAGCAGTTTATAATATCATGAACGTAACTTGTTTCCTTCTACTCATTATGTTAAAATAAAACAATTAGAATTATAATAAAAAATAGTATTCCTGAATATATATTTATAGGATTGTGTCTATTACACTAATTATGTTATGAATTTTCCTAATACAACATCATAGTTGTGAAATTAATACATAATGTGCTTAAACTAATAATTTAACTTAATGGAAATTTCTTCATGCAACTGCAGAACAGATGGATGACGTAATCAAAGGAACGAGTTAAAGGCAGAAAAATTAATTAAAAAATTATATGTTCTTGTCATTGTGTGTTTCAATACTAGATTGTATGTAGCAGTCAATGTAAACAAATACTTAGTAATCATGTGGATTACAGTATAAGGCAATGTAGAGAACATTTCGTCGGCAATTTCTTCATGCCTCTATAGCTCAGTTG